ACGCCGACCGTGACCTGTACTGGAACTTACAGGAAAGTATGACACATCTTTTGTCCTCAGATCGTAGCGATGACTGCTGTCTTGAGAAGCAAAAGGGCACGGTATTAGTGGACCCGCCTGCGGTGCCAACATGGCTTGCTCTGATATCCATGAGACTGCTTGAATAGTATTAAAGTTGACTCTGTCCGTGGATCTCGATAGCACTGACCTCTGATCATGGTCCGCTTCAGGAGCGACCAGATTCACTTCGCCTGTAGCATACGATCCTGCAGCATTGAATTCGGAGACGCCGTAGCCCTCAAATTCTCCTGCCGAAGTTTGCAAATTGGACCAGTCCAAATGGGACTCATTCAACATTTGCCCACTGAACAGCATGCCATCACAGCAGAAATCCGCGCCGAAATGGGAAGCGTCGATCGCTGAAGACCAAGGCAGTGAGAGTGACTCGTACGGTTGTGTAGTTGCCAAGAGGGGTGCAGAGTGACCCGATGCGGGCCTACATCCGGACGCCCTTTTTGTTAGCAAAGTGTAAAAAAAAAAAGCTCACCCAAGATCTGGGAAATCGTCCATGATTGGCAAGGCAGACGTCGGCTGCAGCGATCCTAACCAAAAGCGTCGAGGCGAAGCAAGCCACTTGGGCTGATGCGTTGGCGGTCGTAAAGCAGCGGAGCAAGGCTGAGGCGGTGGTGGTAGGCGAAGCGTGGAATTTTGGTGGGAAATGCAAGCAGGATCCATCGGTAATACATACATGCATCCGACAAAGCCTCGCGCCGCTTTAATCAAGACAGCGAAAAGGGCGAGGGCGATCAGGCTGCGTCTTGGCTGCATGCTCAGCTGAGTAGGAATGGTGTGATTGGATGTTTTGCGCGAAAGGGCTATGGCCCTTTTTTGGTGAGCATTATGAGAGCTTGATGTGCTCGTGTGAGTTACCTAACTGCGTGCTGGTAGACACGGGATGTTTGCTGGAAATGTATACTGTATTCGTCTATAGCGTGAGAATCAGGGTAGTGCCAGGGGGTATTCGCGGTTGGTTTCAGTGTAAAATGAGCGTACGAAAGTCCATGCTGCCGTCGGAGATATACGTGTATGTATCGTGTATGTATATTTCGGGGTGTAGCTAGTTCCTTACCGAATAATGAGCCGCGTACAGATACGAGAGAATCAAAGATATGGCGCATTCGTGATCGCATCCCCGGTCCACGGGGGTTTAGTTGTTGTCCAGATAATGGGGCCCTAGCAGGTAGTCATCATGAACCACTATCCAGATCCGTGCTCGTCCAACTCTCCATACCATTCTTCTTGACGTACTTGTTCAGTTTGATTGCCAAGAGAGAAAGCTCGTTCAGCGATAGGAGTACTTGCGTCCTCGTCGGATTCGAGGAAGATCATGAACTTAGGATACGCCTCGAAGTTAGTTGCATATCGCTTGTCATCCCACCTAGTGAGCGCCGTCCAATCTCGTCCCTTGATAGTCCGTCGTAAGCCTTTCACCCCGTCTTTCCAGCAAGAAAGTGCATCATCCGCGTTTTGCTCGAGCGTACGTAAGACTTGACCAATCCGGATCCCCCCAGCATCGCGAATGTTAGCAACCAATCTAAGAACTGGTGCGCGTCGGCGTGGTAGATAGATACCCAAAGCTTTGCAGGGCGGTTCTGTAAGAAACATAGAGCTGATTAGCTCATCGAAAGCTGTCTGTGGAAGAGGTCTTTTGTAAACGCGCTGTTCGGAAGAACATGGACCTAGTATGATTTCGCATCTGCCAAGATGTAGCCGCACTCGCTCTGGAAATAGCTCCAGAAAGTACGGATTGAAGCTGAACTGGCTCAGATCGAGCCAACATGGACTACCAAACTGTGGCAGCATCCCTGGAAGACTGTACCTGATGTGTTCATAACAATTTCGAATTTTGTCGTAATACAGCTGAGGTATGTTGCGCGCTTGGGAGATTCTGGCAGGAAAGTATGGGCTGGGGGCTGGAATAGACGCAGTAGTACTAGCGGGGCCCTGAGGTGTGATCCCTTGCCGTAGCGACAAGATCGCGTGCTCGATGTGGAGAATCTCCTGCTCAGTGGGCTGTAGCCAGGAGAGTTCCCTGTCGATGCGTTGCCCATGGTTCACTGGAGGGCAAGGATGATGGCTGTGATATCGAGACTCAAGAATGTAGCGAATTGTCCGACGCCAGGACTTATCAACGTTCCAAGCTGCGTATTGTGAGTCCGTGGTTGCATACCGAAGTATCATCTCCAGTAATTCAGGAATGTCGAATACACGCCGAGCGGGAAAAGATAGATCGCCTGGCTGTAGCTCACGAGTAGTGCCAGACGGTGGGGCGCCCATGGACCGAGTATGGTTTGTGTATAGCTGCAAACGCGCATCGATTGTGTACAGCAGCGCTCGCCTCCATTCTTCCACTTCAAGCATCAAAGATGGGTGCGGCTGCTCTGCCCATATCGTTTGACGATGTATTCCGTTGTGATCGAGTTCAAGGGCCAGGAGATACAGGCTGCCCAACTGAGACTTGTTTGCGTGCAGTAAACTAAGATCTTGGTCCGGAAAGTGTTTCGCGATCAGTGAGTCGTACGGATGGTATTGCGCGCATTCTGGATCGGGGGTAGTGGAAGCCATGGCGATATGGCTTTGGCAGGGCGCTGCATGGAAGGCAGAGAGATGTGCCGACCTTTATAGATAGACATGGCATCGAGCTCAGTCACGGGAATGTGATGCCTGGAGTGATGTTTTGGTACTGTTGAGTCTAGTGCTGCCGATGTAGGCAGGTGCAGATCACGTGATGCGGCCCGTGCCCCCCGTTGCCTTGAGAAGTTGGAACACATAAATTCCATCATTTCCTGCAACTTCCTAACTCCTCATTCAAAATTCACGGAGCCTATCCCGACCCCTAGTTGCGGCAACATGACCACCCCAAATATGCCCTACGAAGGCGAACAGCAAAGGTACGACAACAACGATGAGGGTCTGCATCCCGACGATGTTCTAATCACGAAATGGTTTCCAGAATGCACAACCTTGGAACTCCTGGATGACGAATCAACCCGATATCAAATGCTCAGAGAAGCAAAGGAAGCAGAGGCTGATATCAAGAATGGCATAAATCGAGTCCCACCACAGGTACCCTGGCCAAAGCCGCCTCCCCGACCTCGATGCCAATTAGAGGTCGGTATTGAAGAATGGCGACGACCGCGAATCCGCATGATGAACCGACTCATCGCTCGATGGACTACAGCGAAGACCACTCATCCTCGTCATCATGGAACTCAAGCTGCCCCCGTCACACCGAAGCGTTCGCAGTCTCAACGACAAGGCATGAGCAAAGCTCATCACGCACTGCATGTCGCCGAACTCTTAGAGATGATCGTTGGTCTATTGGATCCCAAATCGATGCTTACTCTTTGCTCAGTTTCAACCACGCTGCGAGCTGCCGTCGCGGTTGTTCTGGGATTACAGTACCGCAAAGCTTACCCGTGTGCTCCCATCGAGTACAACGAAAAGATTCCACCGGGCCTAGAATGGATTGAGCCGACGAAAGCAGAGATTGCAGAGTTGGAGCTGGATATCCGCGACCGTTCAGTTCCGGATTACTGCTCAATGAGACCATTCGTCCCCACAGCTCGAATCACCCAGGCTCAATGTCTCCCAATCGAGACTTGTGTTTCTGCTCGAGCTATGTGGAACTCTGGCCGTCGAAGAGACCCTTGGATTCCTTATCTACCACTTGATGCGTCAGACAATCGTTGGCTTGACCTTAGTCAGATCAAGATCAACCCATATCTGAGCCATTGTTTCGGCGATAGAGCCCAGGAAGTTGACGGGATGCTTGAGATCAATCTGTTGTCTGGCCCGGCTTATATAAGCCGGTCTCCATTTCTTACACTAGATTCTTTAAGTACTCTCGTCCGGCCAATGTACGCAACGCAACCTCCCTGCAAGAGTCTTGGGATATATGTCCCTATATCAGAAGCGCAGCTTCACCACAGGTATATCCGCCATCTAGCGTTTGTCGAGGCAGAAGACGGGGTAACCATTGGCCAGCTTGTTGACGCAATAGAACAACAGTCGCCCGCAGCCGTCGATTCTTGGATTGAGGACGTTACGGTGCGCCGTGAAATGTTCGAAGAAGAACCTTGGACCTACTTTTCTCTCTCACTACCCGACGCACGAAATCAATGGGGCGAGTCTTGCGAGGTCAGACCGAAGATAGTGGTATTTTTCGACGGACCAAAGCTTGCATCGCACACGATTTGTAGTATGGCAGAAGCCATATATAGTCTGGATTGTATGGAGGAACGATTAGTACGACAGAGTAAGGACTGGCGTGACGCATTTGATCAGTGGAATGAGAAGGAACTTGAAAGCGAGCCTTGAGCAAACTATGTTCAGACTTAGTAGCAACTTCCCAGGAGATCGAAGGCCGCCGTGAGCAGCCAAATGATGCCTTTGGATACGTGCTTTACAGCCACATGGGCCATTCCATAGATCGATGCCATGCGCAACCGCACATTGCCAGATGGACAAATACAGGTGGCGGAAATCAGTAATTATCGTATAGACAATTCATGGGTTGCTACGAACGAAAATGAGGACAAGTGCACGCATCATACACTTATCGCTGAACTCAGGCTTCAAGGTTATAGGAGACGACCCATGCGGTTTCGTTGAGGTAAGACCAGACTGGGCCGAAACAAATGGGAATCGTGAGCTTCGCTTCATGTGTATGTGCCTAGCTTTCACTACAGTGACTTTCAGCATATGAAATCAGTTCGGCATCTTCTGCTTTACTTTACGTGACTAATAAGTAACATGAGACGAGTCTCGACCCCATCTAAACTCCTCGGGAAGGGCCCCTCAATACAGTACACAGTACCATAACGCCGACTGTACACTATTAACACCCTTTTTCTGTGCCACAATAAAAGCGCTGGCTGACCTCAAACACCCATATTGACATAGCGAAAAGATACTGTAACACTAGAAGAAAAGCACCCTCACACCGTCCCCTCTCTCAGCTCCCCCAACCCATGCTCCGGCGCAAAAGGATCAAAAGGAACAACAACCTCCTTCTTCCCAAATGCCTTCTTCAACCCCACCTTCATCCTCACCCATCTCGTCATCTCCTTTTTCTTCACCTCTTCAAACGTCATATAACTCTTATCAATCTCCTTCAGCCGCGCCGCCTCCTCTTTCTCAAACTGCTCAGCACGCTCTCGAAGCCCGGTGATGACGTGCTGACGAAGACGGTAGTTGGAAAACACCATGTCGTGTTCTGGATGCAGAACAAGGATCTCGGGGATTTTGGAGATGGAGAGACCGGAATCGGCGATGCGGTGGTAGAGAAATGATTCCAAGTCCTCGGGACACCATGAAGGTTGTGCTGGTATACCGACAAAAGTCGCGCGAGTAGCGCGGATGATACCGAAATCTGTTACTTCACCCGCTTCGTACTGTTTGAGCAGATCGCAAATGAGTTGACCGCGCTGCAGAAGCCGCACCTCACGGTGTGTCCAGTCGCGCTTGTACTCGGTTAGATGAGGGGGAAGGAGCCAACCCTCCTCTGAAAGCTTGTGGGCGTCGTGGAAGTTTTTGAGCTTGTTCCAGGCGTTGGGGAAGAAGTAGCCTTTCCAGAACTTTTGGCTGTAGACTGCGGCTTCGACTAGGATGCGGAGATAGTAGTATAGCTCGTGCTGGTTCTGACCGTTGGCGGGACGAGATGAGAAGGATGCGGTACTTCGACTGGCTTGCTGGGGAATGTCGAATATGGCTGCTGCGGTGGGGTTGCGACGGTGAGTGTGTTTGCCGCCGACAGCTTCGACGTAGTGTATGCCTTTGTCGAATTCTTCTTTGCTAACGGCGACAGTGGCAATGGACTTCGCCTGCGCTTTTGTAAGGATGCCCTCTTCACCAAGGCCAGTCATGAAGATCTCGAAGTGCTCTGGCTTCAGTATGTGGCCGCGCTCCTCGGGGAAGAGCTGCGCGACAATCATCTCGTGGTCTTCGCTGTTCATGAGTCGGCGTTCGACAAGCTCGGCATTGTTGACTACAGCGTTGTAGCGTACGATCCAATTACGCTCAACAGAACCTTTTGGCATCTGGCTAGCGCGAACAGGTACACCATTGACATCGAAGGTAGCGTCGGGTATCTCACCATTGATGTGGCGGGCCTCAAGATGGAAATGGGCATTGATACGATCGATGATGTCAATGTTAGTCGGGCAGCCGTCTGCTGCGTAGAAAGCAAGATATCTGACAGCTTGGCGCCGTCTTGCGGCTTCGATAGCATGATTTGCGGTTCTTAGATGGGTCTGGCGGTGATTGAGCGCAGAAAGACTGCTCGGCAGACGAGCTATGCCATGACTGTCTCTGGGTCCCACATTCTTGCCGATGGTATCCAAAGGCTTTACGCGCTTACTTGTATTCGCCTGCGGTTTGATGGTAGCATGGCGCTGTTTCAGCAGCTGGTCTGCTGCGCGCATGCCCTCTATGGCCGCCTTGAGTCTATCAGTACGAGCATCAGAACTGATGTTGGTATCGTCGACAGTTGCGGAGTCGGAGGTCGCCCGAAGTACAGGTTCATCATCGCTATACTTTCCGTTGTCGGATCTGAGACCACTTTCCACTGGGGTTGCGGTGATGGGCCTCGCAGTGTTGATCGAGAACTTTGCAAGTGGTGTGACGTGTGCAACTTCGGTATGACTATCGTTGGGATCCGATGTGTCGAAATGCGCGCTTCCAAGTGGCGTCAGCGGGCTCGTGGGTGGAGTGCTGGAAGGGACTGTATGGGATAACACAGTAGCGTCGGACTCCAACGTTGTGTTATCCGCCGTCGAAAGTGGTGATGGAGTGGGAGATGTTTGCTTCTCGAAGGTTAGTACATCTTTTCTCAGGTCTCATCTACAGCACTCACCTTTTTTTGCTTAGGCGTCTGGAATCGATAGAGCCTCTTGGGAGTGGAAGTAGGTGTAACCGGAGCAGAAGGCAATGGAGAGACATGATGACGACGGTGATGATTGCCGAAGACCCTCTGGAAGCCAGCGATAAGACGTGTTGATTCCTTGCGCCTGTCGTCTGACTTTTGGGCAATACTATTGCTGCTTATGCCAGCGCTGACACCGGCGTCGTTGCTCGTACTGTTTTTGGGCTCTGATTTGGCGCGGTCGCCATCGTGGCTGCGGCGGAATGACTTCCCAGACAAGAAGCTTTTGAAACCGACCATGGTTAGTGTTGTCGGAATTTTGAACAGATGAACTTTCAAGTGATCGTCGCTATGACGGGGAGGCTGGGCCTAAATGGTGCGTTGTTGCTGTCAGTCGAGTAGTAGCTGCCACTGTCAGTGCGGGCAATTTTGTTAAGTTCAGCTTCTAAAACTCCAGTTGTAAACAACGCCAAGCATGCGTGATTTCGGGTCCACGGCGCCGGGCAAATGCGGGGTGCGGTAGCGGAAAGTGAAAGTGAAAGTGCAATAGCTTGAGAACTCTGGTGCGTGTGGTCGAGTACTGGCGCGTTAACCAAGTGAAAAGTGCACCACTAAATAGCCACTGGAACGTGGACTGCTCAGTTCAAGATGAGAAGAGATCTTCTCGAATAAAAGCACTGATATTTAAGGCTCGCCCGCGAATACTTTTCGCTGCATATGGTACTCGCGAGATGTACCCTTCCCGACCTTCGCCATCAGTTCAGTCCTTCGTCCAAGTAGAACATATCGCCCTACTGGCAGTTCATAAAGCTGAGGCATATAGATTGGAACCAGGTCATCCGAGCCGATGACCGTGGCTAGATTCTACCGAAGAAGTTCCTTATTAGTATTCCTGACGAAGGACATGAAGAAGAGAACAGAGCTGTTCAGGACGGACTCGTAACACATGATGAAACGTATGAGTTGACAGTATGGAAACAGACCAAACGTAGAAGAAGCAACTCGACATTGTGTCTTGCGCAATTTATCGGAAATCTGAGAATTGCGTGGCAGAGATACTTGATGAACGTGAGAGGCGAAAAGGAAAGCAACAAAACAAGGTCCCACTGAAACTTAGAACCACAACCCGTCGTTGATACTCGATAGCACCAGTGCTGCTCTTAAGTAGTATTAGTATCTATAAATCCCTGTCGCTAACAGTCTTTGTACAGGAGAGTACAGAAGGCTCTGTAGGCAAGAGGAGGGTGCATGAAGAAGCCGGCATCGTATCCACAACGGGAGAATGACTGGGACTCGCGAACAAGGCAATGGACATGGATCTGCGCGAAATACAAAATGCACTGTTGTGGTAGTGAAAATGTGATGCGCGAGAGCACGATGAAGCCTTCAGGGTAGACTGGTAGTGCAGGGTCCAGCGCGGAAGCCACGAACCCCGCCTGGCGCTAGGTAATTGACCCCACGCGAGTGGCTGGCCAAAAGTTCGTACCCCAAAGACAACGCCTGCGCAACGTCGAGAGCAGCGCCATGACTTTACTCGAGCTGCTGGACCAATTGCCAGCTGGTAAGTCACGGGGCTCAGCACGTACACCCGTAGCTAATCACACCGCAGAGGTACTCCTCATATGGCACGAGCATCGGCTCCCCATCCTACTGTCTGCACTAGTAGTAGCGACCATCGCGCGCCTTGTCATATACGCGCGCGACCGCGACCAGAGAGAGAAGCTCTCTGTATCACCCGCTCCTTCCTCGCCCAAGACCACCGTTGAGCTCAAACCAGAATGGTTGCCCGAATACACCACGACACTCGACTCATCCAAGCTCAATGTTGATAACCACGCCGAGGATGACACAAGGGCAGTGGCTGCCGTCGCTGAGACGAAGAAGGGTCCCAAAAGAGTCAAGGGCAGGAAGGTACCGAAGAAGGTGGTCGCAGCTCCTGCATTTGACCATAAGACGGATAGGATCCAGCCCTTGATATTCTTCCAATCGCTGTCTGGGACGACTGAACGTTACGCTACGCAGTTCGCGCAAGTCCTGACCGAATGGACAAGGTACGTTTTGGGCATGCACGACATATTTGAGGCGTCGACTGACCTCCTGCTTCACGTTGCAGGGGATGCAATCAATCCGAGTCCTTCCTAGAGCCCCAGACGCTCGATATATCCTACATTGAACACGACGACTACTTCATCAGCCCACCGAAAACCGACGCGAACGTCAAGCACTTCTACATCATCCTCGTACCCACGTACAACATTGACACTGTCTTGGACGTCTTTGTAGAGAGCCTGCAGGAAACACACAACGACTTCAGGATCGATACGGCGCCATTGAGCGCTTTGCTAGGATACGCCGTGTTTGGTTTCGGCGATAGAGAAGGATGGCCGACTGAAGAAGAGGGCTTCTGCAGCCAATCGAGAGAGGTGGACAAGTGGATGGCCAGGCTGACTGGTAGGAAGAGAGCATACCCTCTCGGTATGGCTGACGTCAAGACCGATGCCGAACAGATGTTACAAGATTGGATGATAGGCGTTCAGGACGCGCTTGTGGAGATCGCCGAAGGACGAGGACTCGGTGACGGTGTCCCGGGTAGTGGAGATCCCATTGAGAGCGACGAGGAGGATCTGGAGGATGGGAACGACCAAAATACACGCGTAGACGATGTTGAGGACCTAGGCTCGATGGTGAATGCTCCAATACCGGTCGACTTTACCACCTACAAAAATTCCGCAACCGCCCCTGGACCCGTCAAGGCCCCCGCATCCCGTCAGGCTCTCAAGGAGATGGTTCCAACAACCTCTCCTACGTATGCCGCTCTTACCAAGCAAGGCTACAGCATCATCGGCTCTCATTCGGGCGTCAAGATCTGCCGATGGACTAAATCTGCTCTGCGTGGCCGAGGTTCCTGCTATAAGTATTCCTTCTACGGTATCGCCTCTCACTTATGCATGGAGGCAACCCCGTCCCTCTCATGCTCCAACAAGTGCGTCTTTTGCTGGCGACACGGCACCAATCCTGTCGGCACCACGTGGCGCTGGATAACCGATGCTCCGGATCTGATATTCGACGGCATCACAGCAGCACATTACAAGAAGATTAAGATGATGAAGGGCGTCCCCGGTGTCCGAGCCGAGCGTTTCAGCGAGGCCATGCGCATTCGTCACTGCGCCCTGAGCTTGGTCGGCGAACCAATCTTCTACCCACACATCAACGAGCTTCTCGGGATCATGCATCAGAATCGCATCTCCACGTTCCTTGTCTGTAACGCACAGCACCCAGCTCAACTAGCTTCTTTGATCCCGGTGACCCAACTCTACGTCTCCATCGACGCCTCAAACAAAGACAGTCTTCGTAAGATTGATCGACCTCTTCACCGGGACTTCTGGGAGCGCTTTTGCGCTTGTCTAGATATCCTTCGTAACCGTCGATTCGACCAACGCACTGTCTTCCGTCTTACGCTTGTCAAAGGCTTCAACATGGCCGAGGAGGTGCGTGGCTACGCTGACCTCGTCGAACGTGCATTGCCTGGTTTCGTCGAAGTCAAAGGCGTAACATACTGCGGTACCTCAGCTGCAGGGTCTGCAGGCCTCACTATGCAGAACGTCCCCTTCTACGAAGAAGTTGCCGAATTCGTGACGGAACTCGAGAAAGAATTGAACAACCGCGGCCTGACCTATGGCATCGGCGCCGAACATGCGCATTCCTGCTGCATTCTGCTAGCCGACCGCACGAGATTCAAGCAGAACGGCAAGTGGGCGACAAGAATAGATTTTGAGCGCTTCTTTGATCTCTATGAGGGTAAGGTACAAGGGACGAGAATGGAGGAAGGGCAAGTAGTAGGCTGGAGACCAGAAGACTACGTTGGTGACGAGACCCCGGAGTGGGCGCTCTGGGGAAATGGCGGATTCGATGCTAGAGATGCACGAGTGTATAGGAAGGGTAAGGGGCCCAAGGGCGATGATGCAGAGACCAGCGCAGTGGAAGGGCAGGCTACTGCGGCTGCGTTGGAGTTCTAGTCACCGTCACAAAAATCAACATAAACCCAATCAGTTGTATGTTGAACAAAGGCTCATCATTGTTCTTCTATCTATGCATTGTATTCATCAATTCGTAACATCCATGTATGCAGTCGTAGTGACGCAGCACTCATATAGCCGCCCACTCAACAGAGAATGCCCTCACAGGCTCGTTCTCATTGGCATCTACTTCAGGGTTCTCACCACCGATCATGTAGGCCTTCTTCGTTCCAGTACCGAGGCGTCCTCCACCGACAACGTCCAGCAAGTCGAACTTCTGGTCCCAGCCCAAGCCAGTGGCAGCGAAGTGGCTGTGGTACCGAAGCGGGTCGCCTGGGTACACGTTGTAGTGGCATCCGAAGCGTAGACCGGGCATGTGGTAGTAGCCTTTGGAGTGTAGGTAGCGGAACAGCGGGTAGCTGTCCGGTACAGCGGGTGGAGGGACAGAAGGGTCCTTGGTGGGTGTCGGTAGAGGTGGGTATGAAGTCGTTGGTGTGACGAAGTGCTTCTGAGCCGCAACGCCTTTCGACGCGCTGGCCTGGACAGGAACAGCTGGTTCAGGGGCAGGCGAAGGGGGCGCAGCATCGAAGAGCGAGACCTCTTCGACTGAGGAGTCCACCTTGGGCGCCTTGATTTGCACCCAGGAGTCTGAGAAACTAGAGCCTTTCATGATGAAGCCTAGGCCAGAGCTACCAAGATCCGAGCTATCAGTGACTGAACTAGCGGGGCTGGAGGTGACTGTGGTCTTGGTTGGCTTCGCTGGCGCCGAAGAGTCTGCGAAGCTCGATCCCTTCATGATGAATCCAAGACCCGAGCTCGCGAGACTGTCGTCATCTCCCTGCAGAGTATCGTCCGAAGCAGTGCTAGCAGCACCACCACTCTTCTCAACCTCCTCCCTCTTAAGCCCCTTCGCCTCCAATGCCCTCTCTTTCCTCCGCTCTGCCAGCTCCGTCTGCTCCTTCGTAACCTCCTCACCCCTTTTGTCCATCTCCTGCATATACCTCAGCCTATCCTCACGGCTCATCTCCGCAAAAGCCTCCTGATGTGCCTGCGCATCATCCACGAGATACGCAGCGCCTTTATCGACGAGTACCCGAGCCTCTTCCGGCATAAGTTCAAGTGGTATGCCCAGAAAAACGTTCTGCTGGCTGAGGTTCGGTATCGTGCCGACGAGGAGACCGCAGATGTTGTGCGTGCGACGGCAGTGCGCAATGACGTCCACATCAAAGAGGAGGTACCGGCCGGCGACGTGGGATATGGGGAAGGGTTCTTTGATCTGTTTGG